ATCATCAGTTGTTTGATTTAGCTGTTTCGAATCATTGAATGTTGAGCTGTCACATCTATTTTATTATCATTTGAAAAGTTTTTTTTTTTCATGAAAATATTCTTTTATTTCAAGAAGTTTATGTCTCTGAAACAAAAGCAAGTTAGCATAAATCATGAGTATACGATTCGAAGCCGCTTCATTGAATTGAACTTCTATGTCATTTTCATAGAGTTATCAAAATCTTATTAAGGATCACTAACTGATTACTAGGTCAACAATGTGTATTGTTGAATAATACATAGAACTTTGTAGTAACAGACCCTGTTTTGAATGGGTAAAAGCCGTAGCTTTTTATCTTGATCCTATTAAAAATGATTCGAAATTAAAGATTGTCCGGTGATTTTTGGTCCAACAATTTCATCATTCAAAATTATTTAATTATTTTTAGGAAATCGATGTCGGTTTTGTTAGTCATATTTATGCTATGCGATTAACACATACTGGTGAAGATGGTTTTATGTTGTACATTCCATCAGAAGTAAAATTAATTTATTATTTTTATCTTTCAGAAATAAACTATTTTCTTTTAGTATGCTTTATGTGTATATGATATATTAATGGAACAAGGTAAAGATTATGGAATTATTAATGCTGGGTAAGATTATTTGTTTTTTTTTCTTGATTAATTCTAAATTGTTGTATTTATTTAGATATTTTGCTCAACGGACTCTTCGAATTGAACGCATGTATCCATCTTGGGGACATGATATTGATAAAAAAACAACACCATTGCATTTAAATCGAGAATTTCATGTTTCATTTGATGTAAAAAAAATCAAAATCTATTTTAATGAATAATATATAGATCTAAATTATCTTTTAGAAAGATTTTATTGGTAAAGAAGCTTTATTAAAACAACGAAGAGAAGGTGTACAAAAAAGATTTGTTCAATTTCTTCTTGAAGATCATAATCTAGATTCAGATCCATGGTAATTTAACTTTTTCCTCGTGAATACTATAATTAAAATTTTATTTAAGGCCATGGAGTGGTGAACCGATTTATCGTAATGGTAAATTTTGTGGATTTGTTACATCTGCAGCATATGGTTTTACACTCGGAAAACAAGTATATATAATTAAACACATACTTGTTATTTTAATATCTATGATTTTTTTAGGTTTGCTTAGGACATGTTCATGCTCCCGGTTCAGAAAATATAACAATCAATTATATTCGTGGAGCAACATATGAAATTGATATAGCAACTAAACGATTTAAAGCACGTCCTAATATTTATCAACCATCAGAAATGGGTCCAACCGTTCAACTTAATATAAACTAATGTTCCAGTGATACAGCGTGATGAATTTCAATAAATAGTCCAAATATATTAGTTTTCTCTGTCCTACATTTTTTATTATTTCTTAAAATAAAAACCTTTTTATAGTAAGCATGTTTTCAATACATGTGCGCGTCTGATAAAAAAAACAATTTATTTCTAGAATCTATCATTGAATAGATAATAACATGTTTTGCTCAACTTTCATCATACTGCTTCCTAGATTAGCTTTACTTGATAAACATAAATCAAGATGAGGAACACTGCTAGCGATTATTGAGTTCAGGCCATCAGCTGATCTGGGCGTGGGTGTGGGTGGACTCAGAGCACATCCACCCACACCCATACTCGCATGATGGCAATACGTGTCGATGGACATGATCTATTTGTTGTTTACAATGCGACTAAAGTAGCACACTAAGTTGCCGTCAATGAAATGAGATCGGTATCAATCGAAGCCATAGTTGATAGGTGAAAAAAAAACGATTGATATGATCATAATAAATGCTAGCTAGTTTTTGTGTTGAACAAAGATTTGGTCCTTATTCAATCTCAGATAATAGTTTGATCTATCGATCCAAGGAGAAGATGCAAAATCAGGTAAAAGCAATAGACCCAATTGAACGTTTTTTCTCGATACATGTGTGCACGTGGTTGTTGGAATAATGAAAAGGAGAGAAAATGGAGACGGGAGACTACAGAACTGGTGGGTTCTTGCTCATTTTCTTGTCGTTTCCAAGTTTGATTTTTTTAAACATAGATGACGAAAGAATTAGGCCGATACGAACAAATGAAACGTGCACCGATAACGACCATGTTCGAAAATGTATTTGCAAAAATGGAACCACATTTGCAACGACAAATGAAAGAGCTGATGAAACATGTTCAACAGAATCACAATGCATCGTTTTTAGCATTATTATCTAAGTATAACCAATCATCAATATCAAACAAATAATATGAACTTGAATTTTTCCGTAACTATCATCTTTCTTCTTACCGTTCTACGAAAGAATGAATATTGAGACAGAACGAGCTCGCTTCTCTCTTTTATAGCTAACCAAATGATAATAGTCATTTCGTTCAAACGAACTAATTGCTATCTTCAGGTCTCAAAATCATTACGAAATTACAAAGATGCGTTCAATTAGTCAGAAAAGCATATGCATATATATATATATATATATACATACATCTGATTGCTTAACTCAGTTTTGTCTGGTCGCTTGTTGAAAGTTTGTTATAATTTTTAAATAATCATTCGATATTAATCATTGTAAACAAACTTCTTCATGCGAAAATTGTCTCATTTGACTATTTGTTGCTCACAGAGATCACAGCTTGAAGCTCTGAAGTTGAATGTGAAAATTCTTACTCAAAGTCGGAGTCGGACCTTTCTGTTGAATCCAAAATTTTTACATGCTGTATACATATGTTGTTTGTGAGCGCGTCAGATTCCAGTAATAGGAATATTTATTTTCGAGTTCTTGAATATTGTAGATCAGACCAAAGAACTAAGTAGAATAGAGGTTGAAATCTTCAATTCCTTTAGATTCAATTATCTGCTACTTTTTATCGCAAAACTTATCTCAAAACATAACGTGTAATTTTCTGTCACCAGTCTATTGGAGCTTTACACGAGTTGTTCGTGCGGGTTAGTAGACGTTGAAGGCTTTTCAGCAGTTTGAGGGATATTATGGCACCCATATCGCTTGTCTAGAGCAATGAGGCACTCATGGAGTAGCTTTTATAACTCCGCATTGATTGCCATTGGATTGCTTCCTCTCGAAACAAATGAAGATGTCTATCTATGTGCGCCGTCTATTGGCTTCGGTAATCGGCTGGTAGATAGTATTCAACGAATTTGCCACTACGATTGTGGAGACAGATCGTGTTAGGGTCGCTTCACATTGATGCTAAGAGGGTGTGTTATTAGTAAACATGTTAAAATAATTTTATCAAATTTGTTTTTCATTCTTTTTCATTATATTTTTTTATCGTAACTATGTGAAAAAAAATTTCACGTCTAAACTTATCTTAACATCAAATTGCATAAGAACACAACTATCTTGGATGTGGATGAGTATGGGTGTGTTGATGCGTAAAATCAAATCTACACCCACACTCACACACCCACACCCGAAGATGTGCTTTGAGTTCAAGGTTCAGGAATTTCCATTAAAATTCTAGAATATTTAGAAACTTATACAAATGGTACACTTATTCTAGTGATTTCTAGAATCTTCAGAATAGTGGGCGTGGATGAGGTTGCATTTGTAGGTGTGAGTCTGTACTTAGGTGTGATTTAAGAGAAGAGCCACATCCATACTCGTATCTTGACCCATACCCACTCACAGCCTTTGACAATATCCTCATCCTCAAATGTTCTTTTTTAAGTACTATATTATTGGAACATAGATGCCACCATAATCCAAACAAACGATCGTAAATGTGTGTTGATGTGAGCCGACACTCACACCCATAGTAGAATGAAACCTTGTACAAAACAGTTCAAATTCAGAATTGTTGAACAGCGAATTAAAGGATTATATGCAGGGCTGCCAAATCTCCTGATTTAGCCAGGAGATTCCTGATTTTTAGACGTTTCTCCTGGTTTTTTAAAGGATTTTGTCACGTTTAATTGTAGTGATATTTTGAATCAATAAGACAAAGAAAAAGAGAACTATCACACTATTTCATAGATGCAATAGACAATAAGAAAACACGTCGTTTCTGCTTGTTAGGCCTGATAACGTGCGTTTATTTGTGAGCTTATCTTCTTGACGGTTAAAATGTACCTCATGGACAAAAACTAGTTTAGTTCGTTTTTTCTACATCAACCTAGAATGCTATTTGTGAATTGACCTTCAGCCACATGAAATTTTTGTGGGCTCCTAATAGAAACGATTTGAAGTGCAATCGCATTGGTGCATAATTAGGAACTAAATGAATAATCATCTCAGTTATACAAAGTTCTATAATTATCTTTTAAATAATTCAAACCTATTGAAACAAATTCAGTCTTTAGAAAAATATGGCCATGTTCATAGGTGGCAAAATGTTTTGGATCTAGGGTAGGCTCAACAATTTTTTACAAGATTCGCACCAGAAAATTAAAAATATGGAGTAAGCCAATTTTTTTGATGCCATCTTGATGAAACAAAGTTAGTATTTCTCATTTCGAACTCGTATTTTGTAATGTATGACGCTAATAGAGATAAGAAAAGCATTTGCAACTTATGTGTCAAAAAACGTGCATTTAAGAAAACATGTCGATGATTATCTTCATTGACTTCCAACTCTCACAAGAATTCTTTTCTATCTACTGTGCTAAAAAATAAAATAATGTCCAAGCAGCAATGTTCACAAAAACGACATTACATTATGAATGTTTTTATTGTGTTGGAAAGATATTTTTTCTACGGGAATATTTTTCTATACTCGTCGTTTTCTTGCTCCATTCCTTATGGCAATGGGAACTCCATTAAGTATTGGTGTTTCCGCATTTTTTCTCGTATTTACCTACATATTTGGATACATACATGTAGCAGCGTTTTATTTTTACGTAACTAACCTACTGTAGCTCCAATCATAATTATATTTTTAATTTCAAGTCGTGTCACGGTTATCTTAAAATCTAAAAATAAAACACGAATATGAATTCCTGAAGTCTTACGATTAGAAGTGTAAATCGCCGAGCTGAGTCGCCGCTGTCGGTGGGACAAAAAAACTAACAGTTTTGAAGATTTTTCGACGCCTGAGATCACTCTTCAACGACGTTTCTGTCTAGGTTTTTTGTCAGTGTGTTCTCTACCATTGTTTTCTCTTTTTTCATCCGATAATTTCTCGGAAATAAGAAAACCTTAAAGAAATCGTCCAACAAATTCACTCGCCTTCGCCGACAGACTAAAAAAGTTGAATATTTTCAGTCGCTACCGAAATAAAAATAAAATAAAATCACACTTACACACCACCGATCTATGAACTGGTTTACGCTTCTGCTTACGGAAGTAAAAATAAATTTTTTTCTGGGAATAAGAGTGTAAGAACAAGAATAACAATTTTTTTCCGAGAAAGAGAATATACGGGCGAGAACAGCAAATCTTTTCTGAGAACAGAAATAATAATCGAGAAAAGTTGCTCTCATAACACTAATGATCGGGTAATGTAAACTTAGTCGCTAAAAATGATGAAAGTCTTTGGCAGCTACTAGCTGATATGATTCAGGTTTTTTATGCAGTACTTCGTCACTTTTAACGAAAGTACCTCACTTTAAATCATGACTGACCCAAAATCTGACATTTATCCACACAAAACTAAAAGTTTTCTCAAAAACAGTTTCTAGATCTGTTTCAATAAATGTTACTATTTGTTGTCGATAGCGACAAAAAATCTTGACGTCTGTTCAAATTTTTTATGTACTGCACAAACCTATCAATTTAACGTAGTAGAAAACAATTATTTGAGCGTACCATAGTCTATGGAATCTGAACCTAAGATAGGCTTTAGTCTACTCAAGCCGTGTGATTCCGTCATCTACGAATAGACGCTATCTAAGCCTTCATTTATTCCATCCACGAGTCTACCTAAGCCTTTAGCTGTCCAATCTAGAGTAGGCTCGAGCATACTCAGGACTTGTGACCCCTTCGTTCATGGTCATGTTACAAAAGTGACATGAACGATACAGTTAATAAATTATTGTTCATGTATGCCCATTTTGTTTAGTTACATATTAATGTCTAATTAAACTTCATTTTCTATTTTGTCGGTATATTTTGATAAACCACTGTGAAATGAGTAGTAAAATAAATTCCACATAATTATGTTTTTTTAAGAATATATATCACTCAGAGGAAATTTTGTCATCAGTAATTTAGTAGAAGAACATAACGAGTGATTAGACGAACGAAAACTTCAGTTTTCTTTGAGAGAAGACCACTAATTCATTTTCTGATTTCAATAAACATCTTCTGATTTTTCTCCTGATTTTTCAGTAAAAATTCCCTGGTAAACTCCTGATTTTTCGCAAAAAACTCCTGATTTTTGAAATTTGAATTTGGCAGCTCTGATTATATGATTGGTACAACAATTACTAAATTACGGTTCAAGAATTATTACGTGGAGTTTCTTTTTTTTTTGCTGTGAATGAAAAAACAAATAAAACTAGGTTCGTTGTAATAAATTATATTACATGATTAATAGTATTATCAAGCTTCACTCATGTTTTACTGAAAGGATATTTCAACGATGGAAGACATTTTCTTCGGAGAACCATACCAATAAAGACCATTTCTCAGGGGAATTTTTACCAAGGACATTTTTTTTAAAAGCCCATTTTAAAGGACATTTTAATCCGTTACCCACATCCATTCCAAAAAGAAGGGTGTAGGTGTGGGGGTGTTGATGAGTTTATCGGCCTGTTCGTGTTGTCTTTTCTAACACCCACACTCCTTCGCTAATAAATGAAGTTCAGCGTATTTTGGTTGAAACAAACGCAAAAGGCACACATAATTCTATCTATTCCAGATCATCACTGTTTTCCTTGAGAACGTTTGTCTACTGGTCGAACAGCGTACTCTGATTGATGCTTAGCGAAAGGATATTTTTAATAGAGAATGTGCAAGAGTTTTTTTTCATATTGTTTTGTGTTATTCAAGAAAAAAGGACATGCCAACCGTACATGTTTCTTCCAGTCTCTCTCGGCGCCAATCACAACTATTGGCAGTTGTATTTCTTTTTTTTTTTGTTATTTCTTCTATTCTCCAACTTTTTCTTAAATAAATGTTTGATTATAAGTGATTTCAGCGCAAACTACAGTAAGAATATGCAGTCAACGAAGTAGAAAAAAAAATGCACAGCCGATTTAACAATCTAGGGTTTGTTCGCTCAACTTTTATCCTCGTCTTTTCATTCGAATGTATTATTCATTTTCTCTCTTCACGTTCTCGCATTGCCAACTATTCTACGGCCGCAATGACATTTCTTTTTGCTTTCTCTATAAATATATCGTCAGTTTGCCTATCGACATCATTCTCTTCAATACGACAAATAACAACAACAACTACAATACATACAAAATGCTTCAAATTACATAGCATTTACAATTGGCAAGTATCACTCATTCGTTTTCAATTTGTTTTTTTTTTCAGATATTTATTTTCTTCACATACGAATAACTGTAGTTATCAAAATCATGGGTAACGAAACATCTCAGCATAGAACATCAGGACAGCTTCGTAATAAAGGTTTGTTATTCTCTTTATTGATTGTGATTAGTGTAACACAACAATCTTTTGTCAGAACTTGCCGTAATCAAATCTAATTCTGATCTTAGCGAACAAGGTAAGTAGAAATGAGATATAATCATAATGTTAAACTTTTCTTTGTCGTATTTAGAAATACAAGCATTATATGATGTATGTAGAAAAAATATCTTCAAAAAGCTCCTTTTAGTAAATGTTATTTCGTTCCTTTCTAGGAATTCAAACACGAATGTCCATCAGGCAGAATGAACAAAAATCAATTCCATAAGTTTTACAAGAAAGTCGCGGGACCCGACGACAAATATGGCCAGCTATCAGAGTATGTCATTGTGTTTACTATACTTTGTCGTAATTGTTTATGCTGTTTCAGTAATGCGTTTAACGTATTTGACAATAATCGTGATGGTACAATTGATTTTAGTGAATTTGCATTAGCTTGCGCCGTTGGAAGCAAGCAGGATCTTGATAGTCAACTTGACCTTGTGTTCGAAATGTAAGTTTATTTTCGTATGGCTAGATACAATCAAAGGATTAGAGAAGGCAGCTGCTCGAATGGAAAAAGTCATAAGACGAAGAAAATGAGAGAGAAACTTTTGAAACAGTAAAAAGGTTTTCTCACTATGAAAGATTCTTTTCTCTAGAAAAAAGTTGGTCTCTTCATTCCCAAAGCCCTGAATACATGATGATTCGAGCGTTCGTTTTTTTTCAACTTTAGGATGGATACATCACGCGACGGAAGTGTTAATTACGACGAGATGGTGAAATTCATGGAGATAGGGGTAAGATTTCTCCTCTTTCTATTCTTTTTGAAATGCTAAATGAAGTACTGGTATCTTTCTTTTTCAAGTTGAAAATGGGGGACACTAGAGAAACAAAAGGTATGGACTCAACGACAGTTGCTACAGACATGTTCAACCTGTTTAATCTCAATAAAGGACAGAAATTAAACAAGCGTCAATTTATCGATGGGTATGCATTAATATTTGTCTTTCTCTCTTATCAATGATGCTGTTTTAGATGCAAAAAAAATCAACATCTTATGCGAATGTTTGGACCTTCATAAGTTCATTCTACGATGGAATAAAGGAACTTTTTTTTTCTTTAATATTACACATAATAAATAGGAATAGA